TTGTGAATAAACCCCTATATAGGAAAAAGGATAACTGTGTTGTCTGTTTTAAATTTTTTAAATTGGTAAGGTATGTAGAAAAAGGAGGGGGGAAATGATGTTGAAAGCATGAATCCAATGCAGGAAAAGAAATAATTCTAACCTAAGATGGCGATAGATATGCAACCTTTTATATTAGATATTACAAGGAATTAATTATATTGTAGCCCATTCTCAATATATATGCTTTAGCCTTTTGCCATAGCTCGCCGATAGCTACAGCACATCGCACGTTATTGTTTTCTTTCATAATAATACTTTAGGTTTTTCCACCATGGTTACATGGATAGATTCACGGAGTGTTGGGTGCGATCCTACCTCTAAATTTTGTTATTTTACATCTTTTAAAGTTTTTATTTTCTATATCAGAAATTTACATTTAAACATAATTTAGAATTTTCTACTCAAACCGAATTTTTTATTCTTCATTAACATGAAAAAAATAAAATTATAAATGATTTTTTAACTATCTCAAACCCAATAAAAATTAAAGTCATACAACTTTAAGAATCATAAACGTTTAATATTGTAAATCACTATTAACTTAGTAAATGATGGATAATATCTATCTATTTAATTACTACTATCTTAAATGGCCGTTGTTTTAATTTTTTTGTATTAATTTAAAGTAAATACAAATCAATATTTGTTTAAACAAAATTATTAATCATTTGACATTTAAAACTCACACCTATAATATTCAGGATGTTCGAACATTAGACCTGATAATTCATCATATTCTGTTGTTTTAATTTTGTTCAAAGTGCTTATCTATCTTTTTGTACGTGTACAAGTCACTGTCATCTCATGTAAGTAGATAAGCATGCGTGGAGAGAGAGAGAGTCGATGGTCATGGCCATGAGGCATCATTTTTCTCCATAATTATTGTTAGTAGTCATGAATTGAGATGGCTAAGTTTAGGCCGTCGTCACTGTTCCATTGCTTTCACCACCAAGTAATCATCACGTCAATTTCCCCCAGAAAAACGCTGTTTTCCCTTAAAACAAACATTATGTCCACCACGACTGCCGACACGTAAAGAATCCATTGTTCGTTGAATTTTCTGTGTTTATTAATGCTTTGGAAACTGCCACATAATGGAAAGGGATTTCATCTCATTTTCCAGCGCCACTGATGCATGCATACATTTGCCAAATCCCAACGGATTTTGCTTTTTTTTTTCTTCATAAAAGCAGTGTTTCGCCGTCTTTTTTTCTGCATTTGAATCAAAGGTAGTTGTCTGTTTCAAACAGCAGCCTTTCTGACAAACTAAGGGTTATGAGTTACGTGGTTGGATCGAGAACATGTTCACGTCTTTGCACGAAAATACAGGGACAGATTCCATTCTTCTTCTTCCGCAAAATGAAAAGAAGAGAAAGGCTTCTGAGATTTAACACTGCTTTCTTTCACGTGCGCATGGCTGCTGCCACGCTTTGGAATAATCACCAGCCCTCACAGTATAATTTTTACTATACGAGAAGTCGAGAACTCGTCAAGTGATGAAATGATAAAAAGTAAATGTTATTATCTTTAGAAATTTTAAGTTTAAATAATTGTATTTATATAGTATAGGTGTATTGTTAATAACTATTTTTTTTGAATAAATATAATTTTATAATCACATCGAATTAGGAAAAGATAATTATTATTTTTAACCCAAATATAAATTCTAATAGTAAAAAAATATTACTCTTTAGATAGATCGAACAGTTTTAATTATATACATATATAAATTTATATAAACTTTAAAATGGAATATAAATATTATCTTATAATCCTAATAAAATTTATTTTAATTCAATTATATAGATGGGGAAGTACACATATTTTGGATAGGATTAAAGAAATTAATGTAATGATCATGAATGGCATGCCAATATTATCCCTTTCTTGTTTATGTAGTAATTAATCAAAACTCATCATCTAATGTCATCCCCCCATGAAGTCATGATGAAAGATATCCCCTACAAAACCGTAAGCATTTGTTTATTTTTATATGTTATAATTTGAATTATAATTAAATAATTTAATTTGAAAAGTATATCTTTATTTATATTTCTTTGTTTATTTTTAAAACTATATAATTGTGTTTAGGGGTGAGCGTTCGATCGAGTCGAGTAAAAAATTTTCAAGTTATTCGAGTTGACAGTCCTATTTTATAACTTGAATTTGATTTGAAATTTTTTCGAGTCGAGTCAAATTTTTGAGTTTCTATTTAAATTTAATTATAAATATTTATAATATTATGAAATTATTTAATTCTAATTTAAATGATATTTTATAATCATATACAATATATATATATATATATATATATATATATATATATATTTGTATTTTTCCATATGTGATTTACATATATCATATAAAGTCGAGGGACTCAACTCAAACCTCGACTTAAACTTAAAAATCAATCTATTAATTACTAAAAATTTTGAGTTATTCGATTTGTATTTTACAACTCGATTTGAATTTGAAATTTTTTTTAGTCGAGTTTTTCGAATCGAGTCGAGTAAAAAAATAGATTTTTCGAGTCGAGTCGAGTTTTAAACACCCTAATTGTATTCATAAATACTTAGCGAACATATTGGCACGTATATTAATGCACACATAACTTTTTATCATATTTATGGATAATTAAAAAATTGTGCATGATTATTATTAAATGAACATAAGAAAGCATCTTAAAGCAGATAACATATATTTTTATATTCATTTATTTAATTTAATAAATAAATAAAAACATTCAGATTAATTTTCTAATAATATAGTCATGTATAGCTTTAATTGTAATGATATTTAAAATAAGATTATTATTTAATGCATAAATTATGTAAAATTTACTTTATACAACATATTTAATTTTTCTTTATTTTTTTGAATAGTTTGAAGTGATTATAAAGTTGTAGCTTATTAGAATTTTCATAAACAATAACAATACATATAATGTAGATGCAATGACTCGAATCCATAATCTTTAAGGTGAACAACATCCTCTCTAATGACTTGGATATTTTAATAGTTTTCTTTTATTTTAATGCTAAATCTTAAACATTTAAAATATAAACCATAACCTTTAAATTTTAAATTAAAATCTCTAAATTCTAAATATTAAATATTTATGCCATTAAAATAAATAGATTTTTGTAGATTGAAAGTGATACGAATGATATATCGAATAATGTTTTTAAAATAATATCACTATATATAATTTGATATTTTAATAATATTATTTCATTCGTACGAATAATATTATCATATAAGTATGTTAATGAATTAATCTACATTTTTATCCTTTTTTAGAATTATACGATATTTTAATTATTTTATCATATTTTATTAAAATTTATATTGTACGAAAAGTTGGTAGCTAGCTTTGAAACAAACGGTTTCCCAATAATTTAATATTATCGGGATCACCAAAAATTCAAATTTTTATACAAATTATATTTTTATTCTTTCCGCTCTTTGTAATAACTAAAGATGCATGGCTTGACTCCTGCCTCCATATTTTTTTCAAGTTTCCTAAAATTACCCATGTCAAAAGTATATTCCATCCAATCTGTCATGGGCATATGGGTCATTTTAGCAATCAAAAGTGGGTTACCCCACACGTGTATATGGGTAATCGAGTGCTAGGCAGAAGGAAGGGAAAAAAGTTTAAATGTCCATTTAATTATTTACTTTGTTTTTTTAGAATTCTTTTAGTTTATTAATATATATATATATATATTGTAGATGTGATTGTTTAAATCTGAATTTATTTTTTTAAAATATTATTCTCTTTTATAATAATTAAGGATCTGTATTTACAAAATATATGTATATCATTAATAAATTAATTTTTTTATAATAATTATTTTAAATTATTATAAAAAATAACACTTGGCATTTTTCTCGCGTTTAAGAGGTTTTTTTTAATCTTTTTATGATTAACGTATCTTACGGGGATCTGTGGATAAAGGCTTACACGTGTGCATGCGTGACAGCTTTTATACATGCTGTCCAGCACTTATCTAAAAGTACGTTTTGGAAGATGCAATGAAGAGAAATTAAACTTACCCAAAAAATATGAAATCAAATTGGGGTAAAAGTAGTGTGTTTAAATCTTTGCTATAAAATGTCAAACTTTATAGCAAAATATATTCATTAATTCGGCTCTAAACTTTAGAAATGATATTAGCTGACCCTATTCACATATATAATGGGTAAGAAGAGGTAAGGTAGTAGACTGCTCCCAACGTTAGGTTGAGAGTAACTTCTATGAAAGACCTCCGACAATTATGAATTGTCTACCGTAGGATTCGATCCCACGACCACAAAATTAAAGACCTTACGCTCTTAAAGCCCACATAAACCCTATGAATATTGAATATTTAATTTATCAAAGAAGATCTTAGATCTTTGATTAAACAGTTAATTAATTTAATAAAGAGAAAGTAGTAATTAATATTCTTTGAAAAACTAGACGGCCCCTATTAATTTATTTTTATTTATTAAGTTATTATTATTTTATCAATTTCATAAACAAATTAGAGCCTATAGCACTTTTGACTCTAGGATAGATTTATAGCCTTTTCCTTTAGGCCTTTGCTAACTCTAAAAGTATGCCTTAAAATATATATATTCCAATTAATTAAGTATATGTTATGATAACTTAATTAGGATATCCAAGTACTGTTAAGATTTAGTGGTCCTCTTAAGTGTATCTTAAACATCTTGCTTTCCTTTTGAATATTTTGGACAGATGTTATTACCACTAAATACCCATTTGCTTTTGCTTAATTTTGAATTTTATTTTAAAGTTGAATTATAGCAAATTGAAGTATAGGATTAAATCTCAAATTTAAATATGATGAAGGACCAAAATCATAATTTAATCTTTCTTTGTGTTCATGTCTTACTCAAATCAAATGGTGAGAATGATCAAACTAAAGCAAAGGTTAGTATCAAAGCATAATTATTTTTTTTTCATGTAAACCCCCAAATTGTTCAGATATTACAGAATCAAACCTTTAGCAATGGCTCGATTAGTATCAAAATGGGTTGTTTCATACACAGGCAATTCTTCTAAATACCTTTCATTACCGACGGCCGACAGGTTATCCAGTTCGAACAGATCCGAGCTTGCGTAACTAGCTGCTTCGTCTTCACCGTCTTTGTCGGCGGCATCTCTCATATCGAACTCTTCGTTCTTCTGCTTCCGGTAGCTGTTTAAAAGCTCCCTTGCAGCTTCTGCAACCCTACGGTTTTCTTCGATGAAGCGGTACTCAATCTCTTTGCTCGTGACTGGTTTTCTCATGGAAGCTTGAAGTTCATTTTCATGGCGGATTTTAAGTTCCCCACACGGCCTCGAATCCTCGTCGAGAATGACGCTGACCGGACAAAACCGAACCGATCTCTTTGTCCTCGTCCCGACATTCGCTTTGGTCGTCGATAGACATGATCTAGAAAGTGAGGAAGCTGAAGAACATGTTGATGTCGTTTGCTCCGACATTGACTTCTTCTTCGGGTTCTTCGGACTCCCCGAAGTGAACAACGAGTTAATGAAGCTTGCGAGTTTACCTCCTGGAGATATCGGTTGTTTAACCTTTTTCAGGTCATTGTAAATCTTCATGGCCTTGGATTTTGTTTTTATGAACCCACCACCTTCATGCTTGACCGCCTTTGGCGTTGAAACACCGCCATGAACATTTTTTCCGAGCACTTCCGGTTTAGGCAGTGGAAAAATACTGGTTTTAATCGGTTTAGGTTTCGACCTGTGGCAATGAGACGTCGTCGACGACTGCGACAATGACCTTGTTTTCGCACTGTAAAATGAGTCCGACTCGGACGACGAAAACCCGCCGACGCAGCTCGAATCGGAGGACGTGGAGTTCGAATTCAAAAACATCGGATCAATCCCAAATACCTTAATTTCACCGCCGGTGCTGCTAATAACTTGTTTCTTTTGCATCCATTTGTCGATCATGCAAGCACGTCGAACGCTGTTATTCAATTCTTCTTGTTTCAGTGAAGTACTGTTTTGCTTCTTCTTCCTCATGACGGCCTTGTCTCTGTGAAAAATCAGCTCTTCGTCCCGATTGATACCGTTCGGTTCATCGATGGAACGATAAATAGCGTCGAGAAGAGACGAAGAGAACGATGGGTTTTCTCTCCTGATTTGATGCATTATATTTGGGTGAAGAACAAGACAAAGAACAAAACAGTGGGAATTGAATAATGGTGTTTGGACTTTATTGTCTGGTTCGAAGAGTATGGGGGTCAAAAGCTGGGAACAAGTAGTGAAAGACAGAGATTAATGGCAGCGGCAACCATGATTAATTATGTGAAAGAAACAAAGAGACATTGGGAAAAAAGAACAACTGTTTGGGAAAGAAGAAAGCATACATTTTTATCGATGGGTTAATCTTGGTGGCTTCCAGAGAAAGAGAGAGAGAGAAAATAAAAGTGTAATGAATTATGAAAGCCGAAAGCCACGCCTCAAGACCAGAGAGAAACAGAGAAGATGATTTGAGACACAGTGGTAGAGTGGTATATACATACATACATATATATTTATGATATATTCAGATTAAAGCTTTTAATTCAGAGTATATTCTTTTCATAAAAATCATTTTATCTCTTATTATTAATTTTAAACATCATTTTTTATTAATAACTAAAAAACATGTAAAATTTAAACAGTTCCTGTCCCTGTCATCTATCTTTTTGGAATTTAGTATATTTATTTTTTAAATAAAAAATTTAGTTACCATCAGTAATTTCACATGATTTAGGGAAGTTGAGCGGGACATATGTTGAAAGAAACTTTGTATAGGGAAATAGGAACAAGTGAAAAAAAATTAAAGAGGCAAATGGAGATTAGCAAGAGCATGAGTTCTATGTTGGATAGTAATCTTAAAATATTAGCGTGATCATCGGGCAATATAATTTAACCCTTTTCTATTACTATGATTATATGCTGAAAACCCATCCTTTTGCAGCAAATCAGCAGTATAATTATGCATGCACTCCATATGCTGAACAGTGGATCATGCATTGATGTAATTAAAATCATAATCTACAAAGATATCACCATGAGCCATCAACATGGAATATACTTGATAATTATGTGGTTTCAATCTTATATATTAATATATGGTATACACGTATTGTTGTTGAGGAGAGAAATAGATAGCCCATATTGACATTTCAGATCTCAACAATATTTCTAATTAACTTTGATACAATTGGAGTAGAAATTGAGTATAATGATTAACGCTGATTTATAAGGGATTGTATGCTTTAATTTCTTAAGATTTTATATTTTCATTGACAAAAACGTATCTGAATGGTCAAAAGTGATGTCAACACTTGTATTTCAAGATTAATTCTAAAATATGATCTATGTACGATTTATAATTCATTTCTAGGATTTACATCTCGCATTCCAATAAAGTTTCACCATCCTAAATGACACATCGCTAATTATTTTCTAATGACACCTTTTTTTTTAATCATTGAGTGGCTTCAATACTTAAAGGTAATGTTATTCTACTTTGAGGTCCCAAATTCAAGCATCTAAGATGCCAATAATTAAAAAAAATTATGAATAAATACTATCTTGTAATTTTGTCATACAATTAAAAAAAATAAGATATTATCTATTTCAATCCGTTGAATTCGCAGTTTTGTCCATAAAATTTACTTTACCCATAAAATTCGTATGAATTGACTCTAACATATAATAATACAAAATTCATAATTCTTCTCTAAAATAATAACAACCAGCCTAAAATATAATCATCATTCATTGGAATTAAAATTAGTAGTGCCTAATAAAGACCCAAATGATAATTATATATAAACATACATCATATATACATATATCATACAAGATACCAGTGTGGAAGCACATTCATTGGCGTATAGTAATATCAAATTAGCGCATGCCTACTTTCCTAGATAGTGGCAATAAACCTTGGACTGAGATCTTTGTGCCCATCTCTGCATCTTAAAATATGCTTCAGCACCGACCAGAGGATTTCGTTCAATTTATTGTATATGATGAAATTCTAGGTGTATGGGTTTTCTTTTATTTTAAAGAAATCTTCGGGTTCTGGGAGTGAAAAAATAAAGCATTTAAAATAAGAGAACCGTTAGGTGCTTTATTTGTTCAATAGTTACACTTGTAGCTCCTGTACTTTCATGGGAACCATAGAATAGTCTGCTAAATGATATAATGGTGTTATACGATGTTAACTTTGAATTTCGGTGTGTTTTAGGACGAAGAATTTAGATTTGATATCGAATGAAAAGATAAAAAATTCATTAATCGAATGATTCTTAAGAAAATCAATGATACTTTCAGCAAGAAACATTGGGGTTCAAGGTGTTCTTGTTGTGGTATACATGAGTAGAGGATGGACCATATATGCATTAGGTGCTGGAGAGCACGTAGAGATTACTTTCTCATCATGAACAGGGGGCCCTAATTCCTTTTCAGACATGCCCAACTTACATAAAATTCCTCACCCATTCCAACCCCCCCCCCCCCCCCACACACAAAAAAAAAAAAAATCCCACCCTCCACCCATTTAGATGTGTCCTTAGATCAGGATAAATCTGTCAATTCTGACCCAAACTCAAACATCTTCCCTAACTCAATTTGATTGTAAAAGTCAACTTGAACTCATCCAACTTGAATCCAAAATGACCCTAAGCTAAAACTACTCTCAATTCCAAATGACTCGAACCTGAAACTAATCCATACCTAAAATGACTCAATCCTGAAACGAATCCATACCTAAAATGACCCGAACCTTAAAACCAACCCGACTCCCCCAATTGATAGGAAAGCTTAGGTGAATGACCACAGTCTGTTGTAACAAGTTATAACTAGAATTTCTGATTTTTTTCCATTTTAATCAAGCTTAGGCTAGATCGCGCTTCAATGGCTTGGTGAAATTAAGAGGGAGTTGGAAGAGATTAAACACCATTACGCATTGAATTAAAAATATTGTGGGTTATTGCACAAAGAAATTTTAGAACTTCCTATATAACTACTTCACTCCCTTACAAGAGAGAGTTAGCTTGATACCATTCAGAAGTTCGATGACCAGCTAAGATGACCCAATTGAGGCTGTTGGTAAGCACCTACTTGAGCCCCAGGAGCAGCTGGAGCAACCCCGAAACCAACATTGGCACCCATTGCAGGGTTCAGATGATGCGGGTTTGCCATTGTGCCAGGCTGTGGAGGATGGTACAACCCCGAGAATTGCATGTGAGAAGATTGTGGGGCAGCAGCATTAAAAGAAGCATGGCCTGTGGGAGATGGCATATAACCGTGTGGTGTTTGTGGCATATTGTAGTATGCAGCAGATTGAATGTTCGGTAGCTCCCTCGGGTTCTGCGTCCAGAGATCTGAATAATCTGATGTGTCATCCTGTAGAATAGCAATGCAGTTAGCAAACAGATAATGACAATCAAGCTACCCAAGTGAAATACATAAGCAAAAATATATCATGACTCGATCAAATAAAGAAAATTGATGCTCATCCACAAGCAAATATATTTTGTCATATTATATCTTTATCATAATTCACGTATGGCAGGCGTACTCATTCATTGCAGCTCATTTATCAATGACCATGGGTGCATTATGAAAAATGGATGTAGTATTTTGACGAGGAGCCAAATCCATAGTTATCAGGCCCAACTCAATAAATAGTGTTAAAGCAAACCTATGGGCAGCTATTTCACGGTTAACTACTCAGATTTTGATATTTAATTCAGACGCGAACATCAGTCACTTGGAGACTTGAATCGGGCATATTCCAGTAATTTATCTTCATAATGTGCATTACTTTAATCAAAGATGGGAACTTTCTTTGAGTAGATAACTAGACACCATGTGCCCCTGGCAAACAAACTACACCATGAACCCAAACCCAGGTGGAACAGAACATTAAAGAACCCTAAAAATCTCAGAAACTAAGGTTATTTATCGGTAGCCAATACTCTAATGTTATTAGAGTGAAGAACAATTATTTACCTGTTGATTTTGAACATAGATATTGCCATCTTTATACTTGGTCCGAGATGAATCTTCAAGACCTGTTGCACTCCCAACTACGCCAGGAGCATTGATTGCATACCCAGACGGACTGGTAAAGTTTCCAAACCCAGTAGGAGTGCCTGCAGGGACTGGTTTGAACTGTTGTAACCCATACTTGACGCCATTTGCACCAATATGAGTGCTACCGCCTGGCATGAGCAAGTAACTGCTGCCATTTGATGGATGCGGAAAAGCAGGATTACTGGAATAACCTGCCATCGCCATCTGTGGCAGATAAATTGGGGAGACAAATTGACGATACGGCATAAGATTAGCAAAATGGGGCATGTGAACTTGAGGATACATCTGCGCTACTGGGGGTTGCTGCTGCTGTTGCACCATTGGTATCGTTGATGCAGGGGTGTTGGCAGCATGCATGCTAATGGCCTAAGTATCATTTAAAATTTTCATCAATTCAAGTGATAAAAACAGAGCCCTTTTTGGGAATGAATACTACTTATATGCATGTTACTGGCACTAACCTCCTGAGGAGATGGTAGACCCTGCCCCCTTGCAGTTTCATCTTTTGAGGGTCTAAAATATGGAAAATCATAACCAGTTTGGGGATCATATGCCTGCTATCAAGCCAACAACATAATAGAAAATTAAATTGTAAGAACCAATTAAGAAAAGGCTAATTATTCCCAAATTCAAAGTTACTTTATATCAGTTTCAGCAACATATAAATTTCACAAATACTCATTCGGGCTATGACAGAAGTCACTGTTTAGTGTTTACAAGATTATGCTTACTGGAAAATCAGGTAATTCAGGAGGATCTTGCTGCCGTTGTGACTCCGAAGGTGCATAGGATTGACTGTTATCCTGGACCGTTCCAATATCGGCATACCTGCCAAGATTCAGGGGTCTTGGAGCATCCTTCTTATCAGACATTTGATGCTCGGATGCAGTACCAGATGGTGGAGAGTCAGATCCAGAATTTCTAAGTTGATCATCTAAAATGCTAATGGGCTTGCCAGCAGCAGCGTCATCACTGGAAGTATCCAGAGGAGACACAGGTAAACTGCTTAGAGAAAATATAAGTAGAATACCATCAGAAAATGGGTCTGGACACAAGAATGAAATTCGAACCGTAGACTCAAATGTAATGTAAGTAACCATTTGGGAGAAAAGGAAAACCTTGCAGCAGATTCTCCATTTGAGTCTTCTGCAACACTAGTGGCATCAAAACCAGGATTAAAATTCCTTGAAGAATTGTGTTCCACTCCAAAGCTGCCGAAGGTAAGTCGGTGGGGATCATTCTCTGGGACACGAATGTGTTGTGCTATGATGACATTCTCAGTTTCATGGATACTAACTTGAGAAAACTTCTCTTGCAATTTATCAGTTTCAGACTCCAAATTCTTGGCATCATTAGCTGCAGGTGAAGCACACTTCTTAGGTGTTCCAATAACTCCAGGATTATTAACACTTGACTTTTGGCTTGCTTTTGGTTTCCACTCTTTGTTATGTTGGTTAGCTGCATCAAATATGAATGATAACTCTCACATAAACTTCAGAAATAAATTAAAATCAAGTACTATAATAACTACAACCTACTGACAGCTATTTGCTTAAAAAATAGTTTAAAGCAATACCAACCACATCAATGGAGATGTACATTACTAGAATAAAAAAGCTTCTAAGGTACCTCAACGATGCAAGGACACTTGATATATAATTCTATCACTGGTGTGTCATCTCTTGCATCCTCAGATAATTTTGACATACATAGATGTTCCTCAGGCTTTCAGCAAGCCAAAACATTAAGTGAAGAGTACCTTTTTGATGAACTAAAACCTGTTGATGTTGCCTACTCCCAAACGGATTACTCACAAATGATCTACTACCAGAAATACCAGATATGGCAGATTCAGCAGCACTACGAGGACTATCCCGGACCTCTCGGTCTGCTCTGGAAATTGCAGGAAAAGGTTGAAATGCCTCTGATGAACTGTCCCTCCCTACAAGTGAATTGGGAAGAGCATTTCTTCCAGATGAATCTTTGCCAGCATCTTCGGGAGGAGGATGGCGAACACCGACAACCCCAACTTCACGCTTGATAGCTCCAACAGCACCAGATGATCTGGAATCAGGAGAAGGCACATGTACAGGATCTGTAGATGACGAATAAACCCCAACAATTGAACTGCTCGATGATTGAGTGCCAGAATTTGCTTGAAAGTTATTGGATTTCACCGCCTTTGACCGCAAAGCAGCATTAGGAATAAAACTCCGCTTTTCCTCTGATATTTCTTTCCTAGAAACACCACCTAAATTTGCATCTCGGGATTGCCCAGCACGTGAACTGGATGGTGTGCTAGAAGTTTGAGATGAACTTTGAGAACTAAAGGGTCTCTGATTATTTGGAGTTCCTGTTGAACTGCACAATGGTAAAAAAAGGGGAATACTCAGTGTGCACTATTCCACAATAACGATAATATCAGTAAATACATGCAAAGGGAACAAGAGAATAAATCAAGATTACTGCAACAAGCAAACAGAAATATATAACTACCCAATATCATACCCTTTTACAGGAACATTCTTGGGCACTTGTTCATTTAAAGAAGTTGAGCATTGTGACAAAGGAGGCTTCATATCTTTATTTGCATTTTGATTGACTCTGTTGTCCCTTACAACACGAAACTCTCTATTGACTCCTACATTACCAGGCAAAGTAGTCCAAGTATAGCCTCCTCTTCGAGAATCACGTTCAGTATATGTACGTAATCTCATCCCTTGATCAACATTCTCAGAAAATTTTCTAGTATCCATGGAACTTTGGTGCTCAATGCTCTATCATAATGAAACAACAGTTCAGAGAAACTTTGTACATTAACCCCTCAAGAGGTTCACATTTCAAGATGCAACAAATAATATTGAAGGCATTAAGCCATTGTTTGAATCTCTGAGGATATGAATTCAATCATATGCTTAAATATTATAGATAAATTAATAGCAGAATAACAATGAACACCTAAGACTTCAAAAAAGAAGGAAGCACCCATCAAATACGAAGACTCTTTGCAAATCAACAGCCAAAGCTTACACAACATTGTTGAACATGGCTCTCTTGCTAAAAAACACAAATTAACACAGGAAAATTTTGCCAAAAATGATAATAAGATGATATACAAGATTATACCTCTTTCTTCCGATCTCTTTTTCTCCTTACCACATGAAATGTATCTGAGAAGAAACGATTAGACTGGATGTAAATAAGAAACATTCATAGAAGTGAATGTGAAATTTCACCTAAACAACTATATATGATGAAAAAAAAGGATGAATTGTACAAGCAATCTAGTTGTGCTGTTCAGCAAGGACCGCAATGCCATTTTCATAACATACAAAAGGATATGCCGCTTACTTTCCAAGCGTTGAAATCACTTATAAAATATTATAACTCAGTACAGAAATTACCATAACATGATACTTCTGTTTGCTCTTTGTCCACTGGATACAACCAACCTTGATAAACCTAGATAATGATTCTTAGTTACACTAATAAATCTAACACCGTACTACCCCTCCCCCAATGTCTATGGGACCAAACGAAGTTCAGCAACAACCTATAGATTGTTTATCAGTATGCTCAAAACTCAATTTGAAGATAAAATACACCTGATGAAAGAAAAAAGATGAATTAATTCACAACTTCCAGACTCAGAAATGTACCTATAATACCACCGAAGCAAAGCAAAAGACTAAAAGAAGTATCAACAACAAGCAAAAACGACATTCAAGCACGCCAAAACAATGATAAGCTTCCACACACAAAAACAACACAGAGTAAAACAACTCAATTCCCTAAAACACGATAAAACCCTTAAAAACAAAGCTCAAAAGTAAGTGCAACAAGAACTAGACCAATTTTTGACCTCATGGTCCAGGCAGTAACTACAAAAGCAAACAAAACCCATTTGCAAAAAAGAAAAAGAAAAAAGAAGGGGATAAAAAGGGTAACCTTGATGAAGCAGCTTTTGGGCAGTTTCGTTAGGATCCATGTTGGCCTCTTTCAAGGCAACGTAGATATCATCATCAGAGTGATTACCGACTATTTCCTTGATTGATTGTATTGTCTTGCTCACTCGCGCTGAGATATGCCCTTCGGTTCTTGCCCCACTGACCATCTCTCTGTTTCAGAATACTGCAAAAAAAAAAAGACAAAGAATTTCTGACTTTCCACACGACTGTCTCGTATAACAAATAAAACCCAGTTTGATAATCCAAGTTCTATTCAGATTCTCAATAGGGTTTCTTCGAATTTTTGTTGTTTAAGCAGTTTTTTTTATATAAATTATGACTATGAAAACCCTTTGAAAGAGAATAACTAGGGTTTGCCTTGAGTGAAGAACGGCTTTGAAATAAAAAAAAAAGAAGAAAAAAAAGAGAGGTTGGCACCGATGATTTTAAAATCTTTCCCCAATTCTTAATCTGGGCTCAGCCTAATCCATGAATTTTGAAGTTTTAATAATTAAAAATATTATTTTAATACAGTTTAATGATCATTTGTGTATTTCATCAAAAATATATTTTATACAAACATATAATAGTTTAGTGGTTTTTTCATAGACATGCCAAAATTATATGTAGTTTCAATTTTATAGTCAAAGCCTATGAAACTGGAACTGCATTCATTTTGTTATTTTGTTTCTATCAGACTGTACTTGGTTTTAATTTTATAATGCAGTTGATTGTTTTGATATAATGATCTAAATCAATTTGTAATACAAATTATCACCGAAATGGTCCTCGGATTTAACATGTATTTACAATTAGCTCCATTGAACCATCTTGATATGCTATTTATTATTTATTACATTCTTCGAAATTGCGGTATAGGCAAGCACAGCAAGTGGTATACTACCAACCTGTAAGTTATTCCTAGAATTTTCTGACTTGTTTAGACGGTTGCTATGTAGCATACTTAGAAATTAGAATGCACCCATGTTTACTATAATTTACGTGTGTGTATATATGTGTGTTATGTTTATGCATGTATAGTTGCAAATGATGCTTCATGCGCGATTATAAATAATAAACATGAATCAAACGACCTCGGTGGTAAAATAATTATTGTTATTCTTTGAGATCCCATGTTTAAGCACCAGGAATGTCAAGGTTTTGTGCGTTCAATATCAAATTATTGAGAATTATCTTTGAACAATTAATATTTTGTACTTACACTAGACTAATAAATAATAATAATAATAATAATAGTGGTTGTTAAATTTATGTATACTTTATATATTTTTAATAAAAACATATTTTGTTTCTTTAAAATTTTATAAGTACACATATAACACTCTAAACCTGATTGGGTATAAAGTGTCACATTTGGTTGTCGAGACAACCTTGATTTTTAAAAATTGTTCATTTGCATTTCAAAATATAATGTATGATATTAAAATAGACATACAAGACATTTACAAAATATTTTTATAAATCGGATTTCCATGATACATAATTTAAAACCAAAATAATAAAACTCTGAATTATAAATCAGGATACAATAATAAGGGTCCTATGAATACATATATCCACTAAAGTTAAAGTATAGTACTCTGAAGGAGATACTGGAAGTCCTGCTGCGACAATGTTCCACGATCAACTCTAGCTACTGACCTGCGAACGAAAAACATATAAAGCTAAGCTTAAAAAGCCCAATAGTATAATCGCTAGTCTAGAGAGCATTATGAGTTTCATAAACATAAGCATGTTAAAGACATGGTACTAAGCAGTAGGTACATGCATGCTCTTAATCAATTGTTGCCTATTTAAAGTTCAAATGTTCTATCAGTAAAGTAAGAGTTTCATGCTTCCTTTAATCCTCTGTTAAGGGCCTCGCCATGAGTACATCTTTAAAGGGTCTCTAACCCTAATGATTGTAACTGCTACGCATTATTTAAATGCGACAGTGACACCCCTATGGATTATCTGAATGTAACACTGACTTTGATGTGCATTATCTAAATACAACACTACTAGTATTTGGTCTCACATAGCCATCAAACAATAGTTAATCGAGGGAACCCGATGTTACATAACATCAATACAATTCCCACTCAACTGAAGCATTAGTTTGGTCTCATATAGTCGTCAAGCCAAGCTCTAAGGATATTTGATGTGCTGGACTGATACGACTATACATGCATAACTGAGGGTCCTAATGCCACACAACATTGATAATGCCCTACTAGGGCAATTGAGGTAGTATAACTACACAATAGTGTAGCTCAACACACTAAAATGAGGTCAACCCTTAATTAGTTGTTATATCGCTCGTTCTCTCATCTAGAATGTTACGCGAAGATTTATTTGTATGTTACTTTTATTGGTGTATTAAGCGACTCTATTCTGGTCGTTAACACTTAAGGGTATTTTAGTTATTTTGTCTCTATATGTTTCATGATTTTTTTTATGATACTGATTATGTTGTTCACTTGTTGTATTATTTATTGGCCCAATATGTAACACCCCCAACCCGTATTAAAAATCGAATACGAGTCTGAGGTGTCACATTGACTTTTCAAAATATTTACTTGTATAAAATAGTGAGTAATTTAAAACTTTTATAACATATAACTTATTCAAAATGCTTACAAAACTATTCAGAGCTTATACAATATATTCTTTTGAATACATTCCAACTAGAACTTTATATATTAAAATACATATTATTGACATCTCTTCTGATCTGACTTTCAGTAAGGAGAACTGACATGTCTTGTTCCACATTGCTCTTCACTCTTCTTGAAACCTACGTGTAAATCACTTACACGCTAAGTCTATGACTAAGTAAGGCAATAAAATATATAATGTAAACTATAACTTATAATCATGCATGAACAATTACTGATATCACATCATACCCAAACATATATCCATTCATATATCAAATCCACGCATGCATATAATTATCTTTTTTCCTATCATTATCATATTATTACCATTCATATTTCTATTCTTTTGTTTATATGATCTATTATATTCATATCATATATCTTATAACATATACAATAGTCATTAACACACACATATATCATATCACAAAACATATATATATATATATATATCACATACATTGTATTCAATGTTATCTCTTATTAGCCCATGTACACCTGTGAGAACTGTAGATATGTGAGTCTATTGAGGTTGTGCACTATGTTGTCACCACAGCTCATAAAGGGTCCCACTAGGGGATTTGAAATTTTGTCTCGAAGGACTTATGTATTGTATTTGTCCCGAATGACCACTCTTTAAGAACCATATACATATTCCAGTGGATCAAATCTGTCTCAAAAGACCCTGTAAATATTCCAAAGGATACATATATGTCCCGAAGGACCACGTAGAACCCTCGACTCTTGGCATGCCAACTATACCTATAGCTATCGTATCATATAACATGAGCATTTCCACTTATATCATTCCACATAAACACTTTCATATCATATGTCATATAAGTTCATAGCTTCTTTCACATATACATGTAGTCACATAGCTTCTTTTCATATTATCACATTGTTCATATCTTATAATTTGTTTCCCCATGTTCACATATATCATATCATATATGGCTCATATCTTTCTCATGCAATCAAATAGTTTAGTTTCACATATGTTCATATATATATACATCACATAACACATACTTCTTATATCATTACATACAAAAGCATGTTAACACATATAATCATGCAACATATATAATAATATATCACCACATCGACTCATGCACGCATATGAACCATAGCAAAAACATACTTCTATCTAGGAATTCATGCATTTTACTATTGGAAATAGACTTGTCGCAAGTCTTATTTCCCATTAAATATCATATACTAAATAATATGCACTCACTTGGGCCTCACTGTAGCATCCCAAAATACAGGTTAGTGACTAAATTGTAAAACTTCAGAATTTGGTGATTAAAGTAGGATGATTGAATAGTTTAATGATTTATCTGGAAGGATTGTTAGTAATTATTAAGTGAATTGAAGGGCAAAATGGTCATTTGACCATTAAATAAATTAAAAATGTGATAAGGATGAGATATATACACGTGAGAAATGAGGGGGAGAGGAAACAAAGTTTTCAGAGTTCTCTTCATCCTTCTTTTTTTTCTCCATCGTGAACCAAGCTAGAGTAGATGTGAGTTTTCTGATTAGTTGGTTATTTGATAAATTAAAGGTTAGGTTTTGATCATTAGATGATAACTAAGCTTAAGGAAAGCTTAAGTTGTCTTATAATCAAAATATGAAGAAGTTATAAGAGATTAAAGAAAATGGGTTTTTAAATGAATTTATGGAAAAGAGTTGATAAATTGAATTTGAAGTTAAATTTGACTTGTCATCATGCTAATTAAGGAATATGAAGTGTTATAATTGTATTTATAACATATTGGAATTGGAGTATGATTCTTGAATTACATATGAGGGATAGGATTTTGAGGCTAAAGATGATTTTCATGAATATAAGTTGATTTAAGTAATGATGATTGGGTTTAATGACATGATAGGGGTTTAAAAGAGAATAATTGAGTGAAGAATTGATGATTTATGGGCTTAAAATACAATTTCTGAGCTATGTGCATCGATGCACATTCAATGTGTACCGATGCATCAAGGATAAATCCCAGAAATTGTTCAAGGTGTATCGATGCACATGAAGTGCATCGATGCACTCCTTTAAAATAAAAACATCGAATACCATCAGTGTATAGATGCACAAGTAGTGCATCGATGCACCCCCTTAAATGCAAACATCGAATAGGATTTATGTATCGATGCATAGATAGTGCATCGATGCACCTGTCAAGGGATGCATCGATACATGGTGTAGTGCATCGATGCATACCTTTATTAAAAGATAAAAATAGCTTTCTTTTTTAGCCTAAGGAGTGATAGTTTAGAATATATCAATTAGTATACTGATATGTATCAAAGTATTACTATGTAGATTTAGAACGTAATCTCGTTTCGGAACAATTGAAGGATTAGAATTGAGTCCAAGCAAAGCTAAGGTGAGTACATATTAGAAGTATGGTACAATGGAATAAGACTTGTGATAAGTCTAATTCCTATGTTGATTTTCATAGCACAATAGTTATGAACGTGCATACATGATAATTATTATAATACATGCATAAAGTATATATGTTCATATGATTTGATAAATGATATATATGAATAGATTCAAATGTATATGTGACATGGTAAATGATATGAGTTATGTGATCACAAGAGAAATGGCATGTGTTGAAAACATTTTGATGTTTCGATATAACAAATTAAGTTAAATGAATTTTAAGATTTTACAAAAGATTTTCTAAGTATATTCGATGTAATGATTCGAA